TCAGGCAATTCTCCTGCCTCAGCCTCCTGAGTAGCTGGGATTACAGGCACGCACCACCATGCCCAGCTAATTTTTTGTATTTTTAGTAGAGATGGGGTTTCACCATGTTGACCAGGATGGCCTCGATCTCTTGACCTCGTGATCCACTCGCCTTGGCCTCCCAAAGTGCTGGGATTACAGGTGTGAGCCACCGCGCCCGGCCTAGTTTTTGTATTTTTAGTGGAGAAGGGGTTTCATCATATTGGCCAGGCTGGTCTGGAACTCCTGTATGCCTGACCTTAAGTGATCCACCCACCTCAGCATCCCAGAGTGCTGGGATTACGGGCGTGAGCTACTGCAACTGGCCGAGATGGATTAGTTTTGGACCCACTTATATGACATAGCCATTCTAAGAGGGAACTTGCTATGTTTCCTGTATTGTTTTTTTGTCCACTAGAAAGCTAGTTCAGCTGATGAATGTTACCTTGGCAGGTTGTTTCTATTTCTATTTAGGACAAGGGCTTTCTGAGAAAGTCAACCTCTAGATTTTGTTTCCTGGATTGTTGTCAACCTGTTTGTTGCGTGCCTGTTGTATGCTAGCTATTGTATACTAAATACTGGAAATACGCCCTGTCTCTGTGGAGAAGAAAGGACTGTTTGGCTGATTTATGATAACACTTGTTTCTGTATAGAACATATGCAGTAATGTCATCTCAAAAGAGAGGTAAGAACGTCCAGGCACAAAACAGGACTTCACAAGGTAGTAATAGTTTTCAGACCACGCTTTCAGCCTGGAAAGTAAAACAGGATCCAAGCAACTCAAAGAGCATCTCAAAACATGGAGAAGACAATCCAGTGGGAAATTATGAACATGCTGATGATCAAGCTGAAGATGCTCTGCAAATGGCAGTGGGATATTTTGAGAAAGGTAAAGGTGGATTGTTTTCCTTATGAAAGTCCTATTTCTGTAAGAGTATTCTAGTCTTTTTTCTTAAGAATTTTTAAAGGGCCGGATGTGGTGGCTCATGCCTGTAATCCTAGCACTTTGGGAGGCCGAGGTGGGTGGATCACCTGAGGTCAGGAGTTCAAGACCAGCCTAGCCATCATGGTGAAACCTCATCTTTAAAAAAAAAAAAAAGAATTTTTAAAGGAAAGCATAATTTTGCTCATTCATGTTTTTGTTTATTTAATAGACATTGAACACTTACTGTGTATCAGCATGCTAGGTACTAGGGACACAACAACAAAACTTACTAGCAGAGTGGTTCCCAAACTGCTGCATATTGCAATCACCTGAGAATCTTTTTTTCTTTTTCTTTATTTTCCCCTCCCTCTCTACGTTTTCAGCTCTGAGAATCTTTAACAAACAAACTGTTGTCAGGCATCCACTCTTTTTTTTTTTTT